ATATATATATATATATATATATATACACACACATATCTAAACAGGTACACAATAATACAATTGTAAAAAATTCGTCGATGACTACGAATATCCATCCCAACACTAAGAGCATCTCCAATACCTCAACGTCAAAGTTAAAATTTTCTGCCACATGGCGGTAAACAATTGGACGGTTATTTCATATGAAAGCAATGTCCACAAACTAAAAAACAACTGTTGATTTCCATCTCCAATGCATACTATCATTCTTCTATATATTTATTTTAAAATATACAAAATAAAATAATAAAGCAGTTTTTAGAAGACTAATAAATAAAATAAAATGATAAAGTAGTTTTCAAAAGACTAACTAAATTCATTGGATAAAACATATCAACAAAACATACGTAACACTTAGATTTTTTTTAAAGAAATATTTCAAGTATAAAATATATCAATATAACAACAAAAAATAATTTGAGAAAAAATAATAAAATTTTAATTACGAGATACTACACTTAATTCATTTGAGAAAAAATAATAAAATTTTAATTACGAGATACTACACTTAATGTTTCAAAATAAAAAAAATGGCCTTTAACTCCACGAAATAAAATAAACTTGTAAAATAGTTTAGTTTTTAAAATGTTGAAAAAGTCATTTTTTAGTAACATATAGAATCATTTAAAAATCGTTTAAAAATCGTTTTCCCTGATAGATTAAAAAATGTTCTACGAAATTAAAATTTTATTTGGAACATATAAATCAATTATTTCGAAACTAAAAATCATTTTCCCTGATATTTTGATGATGTGTCCTGTTGAACATACCTTCTAAGTGCAGACAGTGGGCTTAACGATGTTATCGCCATGTCAGCATAACATGACCTACAAATTAAAGCATTGGAGGAAATAACGGTGTATCATTTTTCCCTGTCAGCCGTTCCCATTGGAGATGCTCTAACATGGAATTTTAACCATCAAAGCAACTCATAGCATGTGTCTTATTATGTCTGATAGAATAGTTAAAATCCTACCGGAGCGGGAATTAGTTAGTGGTTACGGTAAAATCCTACAACTTAAAATTCTGTATTTATGAATCATAACTATTGTGATGGTCCCTTTCATGGAAATATATATGAAATAATTAGAGAATCTCTTTAGTAGTGGGAAAATGAAGGTAAAGTGTATGGCTCATCCTATTGAACTTTTTTGTAATGTATCTAATTTAAGAGTAGCAATTTTATTGGGGCACAATTGGTCAAGTTAAGCAGTTCCTATGTTGAAAAGTAGTGTTTTAAGAAATGCTTCTCATATGCATTGACTCACCGATTGGATATAAACCAAAACATATGTTTTATAAGATGAGTTAAATGAATTAATTTTAAACAAAGTAAATTGAGTTTAGGATTAGGTGAAATTTTGAGTTTATGTTGAAAAAATATTTAAAATGTAATAATCAAAAGTTGATGTGATATAGAAGTATGAGATAGATTATTGAAAATGATATATAAATAAAAATGTGTGAGTGGATGAACACTGAATTAAAATTGATGTGATGTGTGAAAATAATTAAATGATATTATTTAATTATGTTGAAATATTGATGAGAGTTTGATTGGATTAAATTTGAGATGAATTTTGAGTTAAAGAGTAAACGAACTATTTATCGGTCAAAATCAATTTATTCTGTAGGCAATCGCGCTCTATCTGTTTGGTGTGCAAAAGATGTTGAACCGGGTTTTAACGACCTGGATCTGATTCTTGACATGTTCGTAGACCTGGAAAATAAGACGGGAGAAATTCCCGGTGTTAGCACTCTGACAATTAAGTCAGTCCATAGTGATAAAGAAGACGATGAACACTTTATATATGCTTTGTAAGAATAAAGAGAGTGTAAATGAACATACCTCACCGGCTCACCCCTTCATCTAGGGTGTTACCTTGTTGCCCAAGACTGCTCAGATGTGCTACCCGACTGCCCGAACTGCCTGATTGTATTGTCCGAGTATCCGAACTGCCAATTCTGTTAGACCACGTGGTCCAATCCACGTGTTGCTTTTATTCTAATTATATTCCTTCTTATTCATTAGACTGTCTTATTAGACAATTTAATTGTGCGACCGACTAGATTCACCTCAAGGTAAAATGTCTCCTACGCTAAGCTCGTACGCTGTCCTTCACGTCAATCCCTCAACCGTCATACATTCAGGTTGATTTTCTACCAAGTCGTTCGAGGGCCCTAACTCGACCTCATTTTAAATTAATTTGAACTGTAATGGTTGAGTCTTGTGCTAAAGTTTCGATTTTTCTTATAGATATGGGTCCTCGTAAAGATCTGCAGGTTCTGCAGGCTCCACCCGCTCTGGATGATGACCACACTCGAAAGGTGGTGCAATTCCGTAACATGCTGCCTCAGACTTTCACTGGAGTGGAGGGTCCGACAGCTTTGACGGAGTGGATCCGTAAGTTGGATCGGATTTTCATAATGCTCAGATACTCAGACACCCAGCGCATCGAATGTGTCGAGTTCCAAATGGAGGGCGATGCCTCCGATTGGTGGACAAATTACTGGATTCTGAAATGTGGTCTCTATTTATAAAGAATTTAAAAATACAAATTTTAGTAATTTTTATTTTTTTTATTTTAAATAGTTATCTTTGATCTTATTTAAAAAATACACTTGTGTAATAAAATTGAACAAGTGTGCAAGTTTGGCCAACATGTGGTGACCCAAGATCACAATGTGACATGGGTCACACTTTTTTGATGATTTTTTCCTTTTTTTTTAAAAAAAAAAAATTAGCATTTGGCGGGTGACCTAATACATTGGGTCACCAATAAAGATGGTTTAAGAAAAGAAGAAGAGGAAAACCTCCCTACAAGAGGAAGAAACTCTCCAATGAGAAGGAAACTCTCCCCGATGAGAGAAAGGAAACTTTCCGGCGAGAGAATTTCAATTTAATGACTTGATCTTTTCATCACCCGTTTATGCCTTTTCAACTAATGCTAGTTGGATAGGTATTTATGTAATTAGCGAATTATGCCTAGTTTTTCTTTGAGTTTTTCTTTTTCTAACATCTCCAGTA